CAAGGGGACCCCGGGTGCCCCCCCAGACCCAGGAGGCACCAGTTGCTGAGCTGGGGGGTGTGGGGGGGCCCCCTGTGCTCTCTCCAGCAGACCTGGAAGTGGGATGTTCCATCAACCCCAGCATTGCAGCATTCACGAGCCACCTGCTACCTAGAGGTATGTAGAAAAAACATTTAAAGCTGTGCCTATGTCTCAGTGTTTCCAAATCTCTCTCAATCAATTCGGAGGGTTCCGATTTGATTAGGAGAGATTAAGGGGTACTCTGATTTCATTCAGATTCAGAGATTCAGCCACCGTATCAGGCCAGATCTCTGCCGAATCGAATCAGGAACCAAAGCTTTGCACAGCCTTAGTACCTACTCCTTGCAGTATACTGTATCTTATATGCAAGGGTAAATTATTAATCTAGCACTTCCTTTCTTTTTCAATAAATATAGTATTTTGCATGTGCTCAGCTATTTTATTTTGTATATAACTTTCTAGATGTATTGCTGTGTGCATGTGTGTCTGGCTTTATGAATGAAAATAGTGTTTTTATGTGTTACCAATTTGACAGCTCAGGAGAATGAAGCCTCTTACATAGCCACAAAGAAAGTTTAAGAGAAACCTCATAAAATATAACAGAAAGGAAGCTATCCAATCTGGTTCCTTGTACTTATGATAGTATTTCTGATAGGAGTTTAAAATGGTGTTATTTTTGGTTTGTTTATTAGATTTAGTTGTTGCTAAGAAAATAAGTATATTCTCCTAAGAGGGTAGCAGCCAATCTATTTATCTAATTCTGTTTCTAAAATTTAATTAGAATTTTATGAGGAGTCTTTCCCATCTATTATACAACTAGCCCCCAGATTAGAAGTTCTTCATAAGAAGAGAACTCAGTGGAATGAGCTGAGAGAAATGTGTTTCCCTGTTCAAAGATTCTCTCAAGCCACTCAAATGCTTGAAGAAAAAAACCCACAAAAAGCAATTTTTCAGTATGAAGCAGTTGTCCAATAGCTGGAAAATGCTCTCACAAAAGAGAGCATTTTGTGGGGAATAGGTGTTGGTGTTAGAAAATTATATTTCTTTCCCCCATTATTTTTTTTAAAATAATAAAATTGTAAAGTAATAAAAAGGACAAACAAGCAGAGACTACCCGACACAACCTGACTGTGGAGGAGAAAGAAAGGAGGTAGGAGTGAGGACTGAAAGAGGGTTAAAAAAAAAGAATACACAGTGCCATCTACTGGCTAAAGGCCAGAACACAGCGGCCTCTCATGGTGAAGGGGATTAATTACAAGTCTCCGGAGTCTCCCGCTGTTTGCACAAACAAAATCCACACTTGGAACGACGTAACATGAAAGCAACACAAATTAACACATCTCTGAATGGTGTTAGTTTGGGGCGCTAAATGGACTTTAAAGCACTGGGAAATTCTGGGTCATGCAAACACAAACGCATTGTATTGATGTAAACAAGAAATTTCATTTTGTCTACATGTGCTCCTAAACCATAGTTTGATGAGTGCTGCTCTAAAGTTAAAGACTGTTTAATAGAAAACCCAGAAGACTACAAGTCTAAAAAATTACTGTGTTAGTTTTCAACAGATCAAGGAGATTAAAATAAACTATAAAAAAAAAACTAATAGAAAGAAGACAATAGCAGATGAGGCTGTGGGAGGAACTGGTAGATGCAGGGGAAAAACCGGTAATCAATGTTTTTGGCAGATCATAGCCGAAGAGCCAAAAAAATTTAGCTTAATACTTGATGCCTATGTTCCTAAAGAAACATGGGTTCTTTTTTTAAGCTTTGTAGCTGGTGAGGGAAATGATGGCTGCTCACTGAAGGAAATTTGATGTGTTAAGTCACTACCAGATCAGTATCTCCCCTCTGAATCCCAAGTAAGAACATAAGTATCCCTGCTGAGCAATGGAAAGGCCTCTGGCCTTGATATTTTTGCCCCAGAAATCTTCAAGGAATTCTCCAATTGACAGTACACATTTTGAAAAAAAACCAAAATATAGTTTTAGAAGGCATTTATCTTAAGCATTGGAATGAAAATATAAACCCATTTTTTTAAATAGTGATATACTGCCTAGGTGTATTGGCACTATTTACACCAAGAATAAGGGCCAAAATAAAATAAAATGTCCCTGTTTTTATCCTTTTATTCTACCATTGTATATTGTTTCACTTTATCTATTTTTATGTATCATCATATATTATATTCTGTTTCAATTTTGTTTAAATTGGTACAATGTATAGGCTTATTGTATGCTTTTTACCAACAACCATACATTATATATTATTATGTGTAATGTCATTGTCAGTTTTACTGTACTGCTTTAGCGAAAGCTGTAAATAAACTACTAACACTACCCAATTTTGTTTATAAATATAGAGGGCAATTTAATAATGAATACTTCAGATAAGTCTGAAGTATTTAACTTCTTTTTTTCTTTACTTCAGTCTTCAAAAATAAGGTCAGCTCTCAGATGACAGGCAGAGTTGGCAACAATGATGCTGAAGAGGGTGAGCAGCCTAGAGTAGTAGAAAAGCAGGCTAGAAATTACTTAGAGAAGATAGATGTTTTCAAGTTCGCAGGGCTGGATAGAATTCATCCAGGAGTATTCAAGGAACTTCAGAGCTATTGGCTATCATCCTTGAGTACTTGTGGAGGTTGGTTGAAGTCCTAGATGACTTGTAAAGAATAAATATAACATCCATCTTTAGGAAAGG